GGGATAAGCAAACAGTCTCAGAGCAGGTTTGCAGCGGGAGCAGAGATTGGATTATTTGTCTTCTCACATTTGGAGCAAAGATGCTATGGTAAAATTTTATTTTTGGTTCCAGCAGAAATGAGATCATTTAAATGCTGTGAGACAGCTCCCTTTAATGTACAGCCCCTGCTTTGGTAGATAAATCACCTCCTTGGCCTCAGTGAAGAGATGCTTGTGCAGACTCACAGTAACTGGCAGTTCACAGGAAAGTGTAACACTCTGACAGCATTAGGACAGAAGTCCACAGCGTCTAATTTGTCATGTTTGGCTTTTTCACAATAGGCTGACAAAGTCTTGTTGCCCCTTATGGCAGCGTGCAAGGAAATGAGTGCCCAGACCTTCTATCTAGACAGGGCTTGCTTCAGAACTCAGTCCCTCCACCTACCCCGAGGCCACGTGTTGAACACTGGCAAAATACGGGTCTCTCATCTGCAAGAGCCTCTTAGCATGAGTCTCAGTGACCGTCAAGGAACTGTAAGATCAGCGTACAAACATTCTGTATTTCTTAATTCCGTGGCACTTACAAGATAGCATTGTTATGTGCTAGGCGCTGTCTAGTTGCTAGAGAATCTGTTGGTAGACAAGATAGACAAGCTTCCTGTCCCATGGCATTTATGGCATATGAGGGGCCACAAACAACAGATAAGCAAATCATAATGTCAGATGGTGACAAATGCTACACATGACATAAGGCAGGCTAGTTGGCATTGGGTGTCACAGAAGGAAGACCTCTGGAAGAGGCAATGTCTGAGCTGAGGACTGGGTGTCCAGAAAGGACAGTAGGGTCTGGGGCAGAATGTTCCTAGGAAAGAAGCCGCAGAAGCAGCTGCTCTAAGACGGGAGTGAGGGAGTGTTCCGGGAGCCGAGAGACCAAGCACTAGGAAATGATTTGGCACGTGTGGGCAGGGCGGATCACAGAGGCTCATGTGTGCCATTATGGAGTTTGGACCTTTCTCTGTCCGGTAGGGATCTATTGGAGGGCTTAAGCTGAGTTCATCATGAAATGTGTTTCTTGGCTTGGCGCCCATAGCACAAGTGGTTACGGCACCAGCCACATACACTGAGGCTGGCGGATTTGAACTTGACCCCGGCCAGCTGAAAAACAATGACGACTGCAACAGAAAAATAGCCAGGCATTGTGGTGGGCGCCTATAGTCCCAGCTACTTGGGAGGCTGAGGGAAGAGAATCACGTAAGCCCAAGAGCTGGATGTTACTGTGAGCTGTGATGCCAAGACACTCTCCGAGGGTGACAAAGCGAGACTGTCTCAGAAAGAAGAAAAAGAAAAAAAAAAAAGAAATGTGTTTCTTAAATGTTCACCTCTGGATGTTTAATGGAGAATAATGGATTGTAGGAGGTAAGGCATAGAAAGGGAGGCCTGATTGGAGGCTGTCATGGTCACCCAAGCTAAAGATGCTGGTGCCTTAGACAAGGGAGGGGGCTAGAGGGGGCTGAGCAGAAGTTGATGGATGTGGGATTACTTTGGAAGTGGAGTCTGCAGAGCTTGCTTATGCCTTGGATGTGGGACACGAAACAAGAATCAAAGGTAATCATGGGCTTTTGGCTTGCGAATCATCTTTAACACAAGTGGCTGACGCTGCTTTCTCACTGAGATGGGAAAGCCAGGAGTGGGAGGGAGAAAGAGGCCAATTTTGACTGTACTGAGGTGTGTATTAGACTCCCAGGTGGAACAGTGTGCAGACCCTTGGAAACAGCCTTAATAATGTTCTGTTTGAGTTGGCCTGTTTGTTTTTGGCCAGTACCAGCTTTAGCCTAATACATGTGAGACACTGATTTTATTCCTAACTGAGCTTTGCTTTAGCTATAGGGAGCTAAATTTGGAACTGACAACTGTATGGTTGAAACTGATAACATCTGCCTCTTGCTACTTGTGTCTTCCTTCATATTTCTCCGAACTCCTTCATCAGCTCATCAAGAAATTCCAAGGGAAGGAAACCCGCGTTGATTTCTTGGAACACTTCCCATCCTGTTCCTACTTTCAATTATGAAAAAAAGTCACGTTGTTGGATAAAAGTGAAAGAGAAGATGTATTTCTGGTGTAGTTGAGGGGCCGCATTCTAGCTTGGTCAAGTCTACCCTCTGAAGCCATTTTTACTGGACACATGCTTTGTTTTTAACTAGCTATGTTTGTTTCTCGTCACAAGTTCTACTTCTGAGAACATTTAAAATCAGAAAGGTAAGTATCTGCTATCTTCAGACCGTTAACCTTACTTTCTGTTTAACAAAAGAGAGGGGGGAAGGAGTGATAGTGTAAACTAGTGATGAGGTGGGTCGGTTTTTGCAAATTTGGGCTGAAACCAGTAATAATGGTGTGTGTTGCTCTCGGGAAAGAGGCCCATGGCTTTTCTGTACTGGGGGAGGGGAAGAGAAACTCTATCCCTCCAATCTAGACCCCAGGAGCCATGGCATATCTTTGCATGGAAAGACAGTTCACCATCCTGCCCTCAACTGCATTGGGAGGTAGGGGAGGCAGCCACAGGGCTGTCCTGGGGGCTGGTGTTGGGGGCCCAGCAAGCCAGGACAACAGCTAATTGACACCATCCCTGAATTTGTTCTTTCTGGTGGTATCTGTTAGAGTGTCATGTCATGGAAGTGTTGAAAGCTACCACCTTGGCGGTGGTACCAATTCTCAAGGATGGCTTTTTGAAAGTGATGGAGCAATGAGAGACTTTGAAGACCAGGGAGGATGTTTCTGAATGGGGAAGAGAAAGGTGTTCCAAGGGTCAGAGGCAGCAAACCAAAAGCTGTGGAGTCCAACGTGTGGTGACGGGATGAAATAGCGATCATTGACAAGTTCATGAACTGCTGTGGTAAGCCAGTGACTTCTGAAGTTACATTTGGCCAGACAGGCTTGGTTTGTCTGTGGTCAGCGCATGGAGGAGACGGTTGGCACTGCCGCATGTGGCTGGTAGGGTGGAGCCACACCAAGCAGCGTTGTGCCAAAGAAAGTGTAGGATCCAACCAGTCTGTGGTAATCATTTCCCCAGACGTTCCTATTGCTGCACATCAGTGACTATTCAACATCTGGTATTTTTACTATTGCATAAAGCTTCGTTTTAGTTTCTGACAGTGTGTAATTCAGATTTTCTAAATGCTTCACATTCTTCCTCTTGTGCAAACATCTGGAACGGGCAGGTTTGCCTATTTCTAGGGGGATGATGGCTTTGTCCATATTGGACCTTAATAGTTCCATTAGACTTCCACAATGGATGTTAAAAACAGATGGATTTTGTTTGTTACGTTGAGGAATGTGTTGTGACCCATGCTTATATATCTAGGGCTGAAAAGAACTACAGGGGTGAGACTAAAGTAAGACTCCAAAGTAAATCACTTTTGAAGGTTTTGCTTTCATTTCTCTGAACAGCTAAGTAACTGAGGGAGCTCAACAGCTTTGCAGTGAGCATATGTTTGTGTCCTTGGAGTGAAATAGCAAGAGTAGTGGAGGATGAACCAAAGCAGAAAGGCTACCATCAATCAGATGGCTTAGAAACGTATGTTAGATTTTTTAAAGGGTAGATTGGTACAGGGTTTCAAGCATATTTGTACAGGTTTTTTAACATATTTAAAGGGTATGCAAATCAATGGCGGTAGCAGTTGATATCAAATTTATTGATTTTCTGTTTTGATTTCTCCTAACAAAGATGTTTGGTTTTTTTTTAATTGTTTAGGATTCGCTGAGGGTGCAAAGAATTAGATTACACTGATTGCATTTGTTAAAGTCCCTCTTTTAATTGTGTCCCACTCCCAAGAGTATGCCCTGCACCATGACCCCCATTCCCCTCCCACCTCCCCTCTCCCCACTTGCTCATTCCTCTACCCACCTTGTATTAGCTCATCTGCTGCCTTCATATTAGAATTGAGTACGTTGGATTCTTGCTTCTCCATTCTTATGATGCTTTACTAAGAAGAATGTGTCCCACCTCCATCCAGATTAATACAAAAGATGTAAAGTCTCAATCTTTTTAATGGCTGAATAGTATTCCATGATATGCATATACCACAGCTTGTTAATCCATTCCTGGGTTGGTGAGCATTTAGGTTGTTTCCACATTTTGGCAATTGTAAATTGAGTTGTGATAAACAGTCTAGTGCAAATGTCCTTATTTGTTTTAAGGAAGCTTGAGATTCAATTCACTATAATTTTTTAACATTTCTATGGATATATATGTATAGGTATGTAAGTAGTTATGTGGTTACCTATCAACATTGATTATGTATCTACTAGGTGCTGTCTTGCCACTGTTTGTTTCCATAAATGCCTCTTTTAATCCTAACAACACACTTCAAATTACTAATAATTATTCCCACTTTAGAGGCAGGGATGCTGAGATTTTATGGCATTCAGTGAAGTGACGTCCATAAATACAAATGGCAGACCTGGGTTCAAGCTAGTTGAGGGCTCTTGGTGCCAAGACCTGGACTGTCTTCTTTTCCTCTCCCTTTATGAAATGCTAGTTGTGCAGAAGTAAGAGGAACCCAGACGCAGCCAGTGTTTACATGCATAGTGACATCTGAGTTTTAGGCACAATAAGCTTCACCTCAGAGGACCCTGCTCAGGAAATTCAGTGATCACACTTGCTGTACTGTTCAGTATCGTAACTGCTAGCCTCAGATGCTATTTGAGTTTCATTAGATTTCAGTAAAATTAAAAATTCAGTGTCCCAGTTGCCACTAGCCACATTTTATGCACTGAATAGCCACCTGTGGCCAGTGGCTCCATATTGGATGTTACAAATATAGGACATTTCTGTTATCACAGAAGGTTCTGTCAGACAGCACTGCCAGCCAGAGATTTTCATCCAATCCACAGAGTTTTCTTTTCTTCTGTGACGTCTGTTGACAAGTGCTGGATGCTCGGCCCAACGTGACAGCTCCACTCCCCTGTGATAATGCCGTGTGTCTGTCAGCGTCCTTCACGGTGTGCTCACTTTTTCTTCCAAGGAGGAAGTTGGCCGGATATGGAAGATGGAGCTGCTCAAAGAATCGGATGGGCTGGGAATTCAGGTTAGTGGAGGCCGAGGATCAAAGCGCTCACCTCACGCTATCGTTGTCACTCAAGTGAAGGAAGGAGGTGCCGCTCACAGGTGACTAGATACCTCTCCCCATCTCTCTGCCTCCTGTCCTCCCCCTCCCCTTCCCTGGTGCTAGTGTTCTTCCGCTTGGTCAGCGTGGTAATTACAGTTCATAAAGATTGTGCTGGAGACAGAAGGAAACCAGGCAGGGGCGGTTCTGATTAAACACATCTCTGAGCACAGGAAGTGGCTAATGGCAGGAGTTATCCCAGGATCTTCCAAACCATGAAGGAGAGGTTAGATCTCTTTCTGGTGTGGTTTGAGTTTTGAGTAAATGTTATGCATTCTGACTTTGGAGATGCTGGGACTGAGGTGGAAGGAAGTTACTTACTGAGAACATATTCCTGAACAGAACTCCACATTGCTGCCATCCTAAGTCCTGTTAAGACTTGACCGATAACTTGGGAAAGTGATTGGTTCTAAGTGCGACCACGATTCATGCCCTAGGTCTTCATCAGGATTTCACACTTAAAGACACGTGTGCCTGTCATGCAGATGGGGAAGGAGAAGAAAGTGAATGTGAATTTTTATCCTTGTGATCTGAAGACAATGCAGACTTCAAAACTCTTTAAATTGCCCAATGGTCTGAAGTAGGAAGAGAAACGGTGTTTAGTTAGAGTATGTATAAAAAAGTTGTTTGAGTATGAAGGACGTAACTGTCCCAAAATGTCAGGCAGGCTCTTGCCTGCTAGCTAATTGCTTCCACATACACAGGGTGTCTACTGTTTGCAAGGCATGACGAGGCATGTCCGTGTGTTGCATGCCCACACATGTACAGGAGGTACATAAAAGGAGAGTTTCCCTGCTGGAAGAAAGTGAGCATTTTTTTGTGGTCTGGAATTTGGTGTCCAGTCCAGGTATCCTGATTCTAAGGAGGGTATGGCTAAAATTCAAATGTGTATCTTTCTAGGTGTAGTTGAAGGGGCTGGAGATCTTCGGTCTAAAGAATGGAAAACTAAGATGGGAACCAGGGCACACACTATTAATAGCAAAGTCTTTAGGATGCTAACAACTAATGTAGAGGTAAGATTAGCTGCAGTCCTTAATTATCTGGATGCCAGTAATTATCAAAAGATTAAGACCATAGGTGGTTTTTACCCAGAAGAGCATTATTAAACTTCCTAATGAGATATACTTGTCAGGTAGTCATCTTCCCATTAATTAATCTTAGGTCTTGGGTTCTAGTCTGTCTTCGGTAAGTTGTCAATTAGGAAATTCCTGTGCCCAGAGATAAGCGTACACAGAACTGTTCTTGTCTATTTTCCACCTGAGCTGTTTCTAGTGGGTCTCATCATTTTCCTTTCATTTTTAGCATGGAGTTGTATTTTTCTTGACCTTGGATGTCTGACTCACAAGTGGGGGGTATTCTAGTTACTAAGGGGATGAGAGAAATGGAATTAAAAGAGGAAAGTAGGGAGAGTGATAGGGATCGTTTTGATGGTATCATGAATAAGTAAGCCCAGGGACACTGGCCAGAACTGGATTCTTTATTCCTGAATCACTCTCCTTCCATAAGAAACATCTCCCTTCTCTCACCATTCTAAGCAATTAGCAGGACACTTAGCGTTTTTCTGTTTCAAAGATTTTTGAAGGTCAGAAAGTAGAAGCTTTCAGAAATCTCTGGTGCCTCCTATCTTCTATTAAACCAAAATTCATTCTGTGAAATCTGTGGTAGAGTTTAAAAAAAAAAAAAAACTTAAAGTCATAGAAAAGATTATGATGAATTTCCTGGAGGAAAGAGAGAATAAGAGAGAAGCTGCTGAAGGTAGGGAGAAGAGGTAATAATGGAAGGGGAGAAGGTGGTCGATACATTGAAAGAAGGTGAGGGGAAAGAGCCTATAGGTGGGGCAGAGACAGAGTTGGTGAAGCAGGAGTATTGGAGACATGTGGATCCCGTGGCAGCACTCTGGGTGCTGACGGGAAGCCTTCACACAATAGTATGGAACCCTGGAATCAGGGTCTCTCCACCTCACCAGATTTCCTATCCCATAGTTAGCAATCTCTAGCTCTTTGGGGATTCTGGGAGACCAGGCAGGAGGCGCTATTGGAACCCACAGGACTGTTGACCTGCCATGATTGAAGGGGTCTGGCCACTGCTGGAGCACAGGTGCCACCCAGACCTCTGACTCCCACCCCAGGGGAGGCAGTCCCTTTCCCAGTGACTGCTGAGGCTCCTACTGGCCCAGGGGGAGAGAAACTTAGAGTCAGCCATAATTGAATTTAATAGAAATGAAGAAACAGGAAATGTTTGTACAGCCATGTTTGTAGTCTAGGCCTGGTACCTACAACAACAGCAAATTAGGCAATTTAATTGTTTTTCCTTTTTTAAAAAATTCATCTGTCCATTTATGAAGCTGGGTATAGGGACCTCAGGATGAAAAATGTACCAAGAGGCATTATCTTCAAAGCCCTCTAACTCTGTGGAGGCACAGACACATGCAGGGTTCATACACCTGTATGAATCACAGGTGCCCCAGTGGAAATCTGGTCAGGGTCATGTCACCAGGGAAGGGAGTAGGAAGTGCATTAGGAAAGGATTTCTGATGGGCTAGGATGCTTTTACTCTTCTTGAGCTTAGCTTATGACTCTGCCCTGTGCTAATGACTCAGTCACCAGGCAGGATGGCAGGCAGGATTAATAAAAGAATGACTCGACTCCCCAAAACCTGGAGGTCTTAGTTCCTCTTTCACCATCTCCACCTGGATGGGGGTTTTGTTGACACTAATGCTGAATATGGTAGTGACATGCTTATTACTTAGCTATACCTGAGATTGTGGAGCCTTTCACTCCCGTAGTGGGGATCTGGACACAAGGGAGAAAGCAATCCCGTCCCAAACTGTCTCTGCTTCCTCTTTACCCAATTCACATGTCCCTTCTCATGACCCTCCCTAGCTCCAGGAAAATGTTCTTTCTTGGGCCCAGAGTATTTTGACAAGGGGTTTTATTTCCCATCTCCATTTCCTCAGGGATGGCAGACTGTCCTTAGGAGATGAGCTGCTGGTGATCAATGGTCACTTACTGGTCGGGCTCTCCCACGAGGAAGCTGTGGCCATTCTTCGCTCAGCTACTGGAATGGTACAGCTGGTGGTGGCCAGCAAGGTAGGTCATTTTTGTTTGTTTTTTAATATCCGTAATGGTAGTGGTGACTTTGTATTTGAGACCCCTGCCCATGCCTCACACAGACGTGTGTGCAACTGCACATTTACTTTGGGCCATTTAAACATCCTGGATTCTACAGGACAAGGCCACATGGAGGCCCTTAGCTAAGGTATATTTAAACTGCTTTCCTTCAAGAGTCTTTTTGTTTTTTTAAGAGATGAGGTCTCAGTCCATTGCCCAGGCTGGAATGCAATGGTGCAGTCATTAAACCCCAGGGCTTTGAACCCCAGGACTCAAGCGATCTTCCTGCCTCAGCCTCCCAAGCAGCTGGGACTACAGGACTCCTGCCTAATTTTTTTAAAATTTTTACTACAGACAGGGTCTCCCTATGTTGCCCAGACTGGTCTTCAACTCCTGGCCTCAAGTGCTCTTCCCAAAGTGTTGGGATTATTGGTGTGAGTCACCATGCTCAGCCCTTTTAAGAGTCTTTATAGATATATGTTAAGGGATAGAGAAGAAATAATAGAACTAAGGAAGAGTAAGAAGGATGGGATAGGAGGGGGGACAATGTGGGGACAACAGCAGCTCTCCCAGGAGAAACTTGAGAGATGTGGCAGTCTAGACATCAAGAAAGGGGGCGGGGGGCATCAGGGCCACACAGCAAGTCCTAGGCCCTGAGTGTTGGGGCTGGAGGAAGCCTTGTGAATCCTGCTTGTCCAGCCCCATCTGCCTTTCTTCCTCTCCAGTTTTACAAGACAGTGAGACAGAGCTTCCATGGCCAGCTAATGTCTTGCAGAGGCCATGACACCATCAGCAGCACCAGGACCTGAGCCCTTAGCTCCAGCCCCATGTCTGTCCCCCATCTCGCTGCTGCTCCTTCTTCACTGCTCTCCCTTTACCAGCTCCAGCACCCCCAGGCCGGGGCTTCTTCCACTCTCACCCCAGAGTGTGTTAATATAGTGCCTGTGTTCTGGACCCCAGCTCCTGCTTGCTTAAAGCACTTGACTGAAGGCCACAGGGCTACACAACTGTGGTGAGGAGGCAGTGGCACGGACTTCTCTGTGTCTGGTCTGCTGTCTTGTGCTGCCAAGGAGATTAGGAAAGGGTCCGTGTGGCTGAGGGACCGGTGTAGGTGCTGTTCCAGTGCTAGCCCTGAAGAACTGGGTGAGGCCACGCCAGTCTTACCCTCCGCAGCATGGCACTCTTGCCCATGTGGGTAGTTCCTTTCATTGCCCCTGCTGTTTTGAACCTCGTGTTTGTAGGGTTTTATATCTGGGTTGGACCTAAAGTTCGTGTGCAATTTAAAATAGTCTAACATAGTAAATTGCACACGAACTTTATGTCCACCTGTATTTTTCCCTCTTAGACCTCAAGATCTATTGCCAATTTTTGGAGTGTTTAACCAATGGAAGAGCAGTTCAAGCTATCTGAAAAATCTGCTTTTCTCTCTTTTTGCCTTTTACCCCAAACCCTTGAGCTGGACTCTCAGGCTCCAGAAAGAATATCCAGAGCCTTGCTGAAGACCTGGCAGGAAGAGTGGGCATCTGGGTCCCTGGAGGCAGGTGTTGAGCACTTCCCACTCACTGGGCCTTTCCACTCCTTCCAGAGATGCCAGGGGGCTCCCTGGGGAGTCCCTTGAACGCCTATCTCCACCCAGAGTATCTGCCAGGGGGCTGTCTGCGGCCCTTCACAAGGCAAGGGAAGGAGAGCAAACCCCAGGATTTTCTCTGTCAGCCTGGTGAATTCCACAAGGAGGGTGATACTGTGAGAGAAGGAGAAACCAAGTCCTCTTCTTCCCAGGTGTATCAGGAACTTGAACTCGCCGTCAGGTTGCGCACACAGAGTCATGTGTTTGTGGAGCAGGCTTGTTCTGTTTGCAGAGCCCATGTCTCCATGGTCCACGGCTAAAGAACGTGGGTTCCTGCACAGGCGGGATGCCACACACCACCCTCCTTTCTCTGCCCACTTCTTTCTCCTGCTAGTTTGGAAGATGGGGAAGGGAGCCATTTTTCTGTCAAGCCATTATTCCACAGACACAAAAACACATAAAACATAAGATAAAAACAAAACAGCTAATGCTGATTTCAGGGCATGAACAGGACTTTGAAAACTAGTTTCTGGATGTGGCCACTCACCGATCTCACACACTGACTCAAAAGAAGGAAGGACAGGGCGGCCCCTGTAGGTCCCAATGGGTAGGGTGCCTGTCATATACACCTAGGCTGGCGGGTTCCAACCCGGCCCAGGCCAGCTAAAACAATGACAATTGCTACAACAACAAAAAAATAGCTGGGCATTGTGGTGGGCACCTGTAGTCCCAGCTACTTGGAAGGCTGAGACAAGAGAATCGCTTAAGCCCAAGAGTCTAAGGTTGCTCTGAGCTGTGACGCACTCTACCCAGGGAGACAGCTTGAGACTCTGCCTC